AAAAAAATATGGCAATTCAAAGTCTGCTGGTGCTGCCAAGCGTATGATCTGCTTCAGGACTGGTTCAGTACTACTCTGTGGAACCCAGTGAAACAATTGCGGTGGAAGAGTGAATTTATAAGGTGGTCCAAATGCATTAGATGCCAGCTATAAGCTCCGCTCTGACAGAAGTGAAGGATTTATATTTCACCACAGCAACGGTCGGCCACACGCCGCACAGCTGACGTTCCAAAACCGAACAAATTGCAATGCGAAGCCCTGCTCCACTCATCATGTTTGCCGGATTTCTCTTCAAAGACTATCACTTCTGGATGAGCCCTGACGACTTCTTGAAGTAGAAATGTTTTAGTGGTGAAGCCACGGTGGTAACTTACTTAAAAGCGAGAGATTGTGATAGTGTGTGCAAGCATGGAAGTACATGCACCAGTGGAAGCAGTAGTCAGGGGCCCAAGGAAGCGAGATGTGGCCTTTTCGTGGCCAAAGGCGCGCTAGTTCAGCGCCTTGGGGCTGCCAATCCTCCCTGAGCTCCACCTCAACCGTGTACTCCGCCCCCTTATCACTTGGATGAGATATTCCGCTTCGAGTGTGTATCCTATAACTCATGGAATGCGTGATCAATCAAAGCATGATCTTTGCTGAAATGATAGAGGCTATCAGTTTAACATGTGCAAACGACCTCCTAATTGGTTGCTAGCTCGTCCATTATCGGAGGTCAACGGGCAAAGAAAGGGGTCCCATTTTGCGCGTTCTTGACGGATTTCTTTGCTTTTTTCGCCACTGGGGCATTATTCAGCATCTCCACTTCCACTATGAACCCAGTCCAATCTTATCGTAATCCTCGCTTTAAACGAAATCATCGGCTCCAAAACTCCAGTCTCTACTGCAAGAGGAACAATTGCGCGTGTTCTTCGTTGATTGTATACTGAACTGACTTTTTCGATTGACAGTGTTTGAGCTAATAGTAAGCTGAGACATTTCGTTTTGAAGAATGAGGATCAAAACTTGACATTTTCTAGACAACCTAATATTTTTTATACCAGTTTAACTGCGCATCACACGGTAGACTTCAAGCAAGCTTGCCAGCCTATGGATTATATAATACTCGAGCTAGCACACCACCCTTTTTTGTAGTTGGTCGATTCTTTTTCCTGGCTATCCTTTCTTGTAACTTCTTTCTTCTTATTCTTCAGCGTTTGTCCCACTCTGTGGCGGGGTCCGCTTTCCTGGTATTACGACGCCACTTTTCCCGATTATGTGCCTTGATCGGGGTGAAGGCCAACTAATTTCAAATCCTCATGCAACGTATCAAGCCATCGTTGCTTCGGGCGTCCTCTTGGCCGCTTTCCTGGCACACGTTAAAGTCTAGACCGATCTTACGGACACTCTCATCATTAGCGCGAAGGACGTGACCGTACCACCTCAGGCGAGCTTCGCGCATCTTATCAGCGATGGGAGCCACACCGAACCGCTTTCTGATGGTATCGTTGCGAATGTGGTCTAAACGGTGACCCGGCAGTCCAGCGCAGCATTTTTGTCTCCATTACACTGAGACGAGCCTCAACCTCTTTAGTCACGGGCCAGCACTCTGCTCCGTAAATGGCGACTGGTCGGACGACGGTTCTGTAGATCTTAGATTTCAGTCGCTCTGGTATTTTCTTATCGCAGAGAACGCCGGTCATCGAGCGCCACTTGGACCAAGCTGCACTCACTCCGGGAGTTTACTTCAGAGATCAGGCTGCCGTCGGACGCGATTGCCGACCCAAGATACTTGAATGATGTTGTACGCGTGAGCTCAGTGCCATAATCTTAATAGAGCCTGGCTCACTCGAATCTCTTTCCTTTCCTGTTACCTTGCTATCCTTTCTTGTAACGCTCTTGTAATTGTGATAATTTAAGCATCCATTAGGTCACCCGATTTCTACACGCAGCTGTGGCAGAAGTAGCTAACGAATTACAATATGACTGTAGCGTCAGTGTTGTCATTTCGCCATATACCTTCACCATTTTTTGGATTTACGCTCTGGATGTCGAATGAGTTTGGCAAACTCCGCCATGAAGGAGGTGTGTTAAAGGAATCCTTCCCGGAAAATTCTTGCATTCTTTCCAACATGAATGTGTCAGTTGTGATCACTAGAACAGCACACAAAGTTTCACGCATGAAGATTCGGTTTCCGAAGAGAAACAAACTCACAAAAACACACTCTATGGACAATCGAAGGTAATTCGGGCGGAGCCAAAGGCGGGGCATGGAAAGAAGTCCGCCTTGGGCGGCTACGTATCAGGCGACGCAATGAAAGAATCGGGTTAAAGCGTGCGATTTTGGAGAGTAGAGACAAATCGATCGATAGAATAGATGCAGTAGAAGAGTGAACTGTCAGTGCAAGTGGATGCTTTCCCGCCGGCCAGCACTTTGTGACAGACGTCCGGCGGGAACTTTGAACGCGTAGCAGTCCTTCCGGTTTTTCGAATTGTTTACCAAAACAAATGCAATTTTTTGTTCTTTTCGTTCTTATCGTGGACGATGGGTCTCAAGCCAGTGATTTATGGGTGAGATTGAATCACGATGTTTTCCAGGAAGGATTCTTTTAATTGATGGCTAATCACATTCGATTATTCACTTTCGCTTATTGATCATTCGTAAAGATTAAATTTAGATGTTATTCGCGTAGAGGCTACTTTCTTATCATTCCAAACTATGTGTCATCACGGTAGAGGTATCTATTTGAATCGTGTCATTATTGTCCTTACTTGTCTTGTCAGCCCTTTCTGTTGCTATCGCTTTCTGTCACCTACTAGCTGTTCACTCCATATAGCTCGCATAGGTCCAATCACTCTACTGTGGACGTGAATGACGCATAGGTATGTCACTTGCTATCGCCAACCATCGTACGTCGCCTCTTGCAAACCCTTACCATCTGCCATGAGTCGCTATCACGCACCTGCTTGGTCCACAACCCATCCCACGCAACATCTGGAGCGCAAGCGCTGTCGAGCACCGCCTTGTCACTCTCCTGTCACCTTTTCCAGGTTTTAAGTTTCTTCTGCTAGTGGTAGTGAAGTTATGAATTTCCGGCAAGACAGACAGACACCTAATGGACACACACAACCGCATAGCGGATATTTGGTAGAATAGCCTCAGAACAGACGGAGTGGGTCCGTTACAGGCAGAGACTCAAAAATGTCTATGCATTGAATCGAGCGCTCAATTCCGTCTCGTAAACTTTTGAGTTCTGATAGGATTACCAGGAACACTGCGTAATTTTGCGTGAAGCCAATTCGAGCATACCTGGGTCACTTTTCTTCGCTTAGATGTCATTATGAAATAAAATATAGCATTAGAAGCGGATCGCACAACTGTACCTCCACCTGTGGAATTGCGAGCATCATCCTGCAATTGAATTACTAATGTTCAATGTCTATGTTGTATGCATGTTTATTGTGACTTTTGACTGGCATGTGATCCATAAACGTGGGTTCAGCTGATGCTAAGAAGCATTCGAAAAACCACCATGTGGAAGTAGTCTGCTGTAGGGATTTCGTCAGCAGAAATACAGCCGTTGCTCCGCCGTGCGAATGAAGAAGTTGACTCGCTTTCCGCGTCGCTTCCGAGCAACCGCGTTCACTTACCGGTCTGTTGTTCGCAGCATGGCGCCAAGAACGAATGTTTTTCATTATCGGGTTCCTGGGAAGCACCGATAGCAAAGGCTCTAATGAAAGGTGAGGTTTCGCCATTTTTTCGGAAAAGTGAGGCAACCTTTTTGCTTGCTATATGTGTCAACTAAAAAGTTTGAGACAACCTCTCCTCGTAATCTCCAAACAATGAGCTTAAGTACCAGAGTGGACGTTGACGGCCACACAAGCTGATGGATAGGCTCATCCGGTCTGATCTCATCTTGATTACTAATTGTTATCATCTTATTGCGGAACGAGCCCCATGAAACCCCATCACTACCTTTGTTTGCTCACCTCGGCTCTAGAACAAATTCGTTTCTACCAGCTGAGTTGTTGACAACTCTTGCTACGGTTACTTCTATCATTTAGACAAGAGTTTGTTTATTTCTTGTGGGGGAAACAATTTCCTAGGCTCACAGAAGCACAATTCCAGTGAATGGAACCGGCAGCCTGTCACCTTCTTATGTGTTGCTTTCACTCGTTTCTTTTGCATCCATTACCTACTGTGTTTGCTGAGATGTGTTGGTTTTGAGTGTAGTATGTGCTATGCGTTCATGAGTGTATGCCGGTCGTCACTTCTTTCCCTCCGTCCACAAAAGAAGTGTTAGGGCAGCTGAGATGAACAACCACGAAATTTATTTTATCGAGTTTACAGTCTGGCCGACATGTTTGTTGTGCTGTGTGATTGATAACTAAGCTTACTTGCAATCAGCCGGTGTAACTAAAACTAAGCACAAGCATCGGTCAATTTCTCTCTCTATCTCTGGTGGCACTTGGAGAGAGGGCGAGGAAAGTTCACGGTCTTTAATATCTCAACCGCCAGCAAACTAAGTGTGCGAAAGTCGCGTGTTCTAACTCTCCTCTCAATTTATGTCTTACTTCTTATCGATAGGTTCTCACCTGGGTCTACAGAAGACCAACTACATTGTGTGATACGCATTCCACTTTGTGCTAGGTCACAAGTGGTAAGAGGGAAAACTTATATTATTTATATTCTTCAGAGTTGCTTCAGACGGGGAGTTGCGACTGTTGTCTAAATTATTATTATATAAATATATGCCGTATTTTATAAGTAAATTACTTAGCCCATCTCGTGAATCAGAAAAGCGGATGGAAATAGTTTCATGCGCTGTAAAGTCGCCATATGCCCAACCTACATCGAGCACTGTCGGTTAGAAGTGTGCGTTGGGTTTTCCCACTCGTAAACAGAATACGATAAAAATCAAATAGACACTGCGTCAAATAGAATCTCTTCCTACAACCCTCTCAGTAGCTCTGAGATAGTGCACCATAGGTAATCGTGAAACAATTATGGAAACATTTCTACAGTAAAAAAATTAACCTGGAAAAGAAAAGACTCCGGAAGACCCAGCGCACGGCCTACCCAGTTTGTTACAATGTAGTCCAACTCTTCAAACGGAGGAGAGGTATCCTGTAAATGTGACTTGGTAAGAAAAATAATATTCTCACCAGTGAAATGTGCAGAGGCTGTCCCATACGATGCGAGGCGCATTGCTTATGTCTGAAAAAGAAACTTGTGGGAGCCCAGAGCCGGTCTTCGCCCTTGCCAGTATCCGTCGCACACTCGTATGTAATTTATTGCGCGTATCATGCGTCTCGCCACATTGTAGAAACAGCAATCTCGTTTCCCGGTTTTCGACTGCTTCTTTTTCTTTTTCTTTTCTTCTACCTTTTCTTTACCGGTGGTCCAATTTTTACTCCCACTTTCATTATCTAGCATTATTAGCCCACTAACATGTTTGTGAGCGTGCTTCTCACTTTAGACGCGTCCTCCACTTAGATCCTACCTGTTACCTTGTTGACATGTGCGTGGGTCCGTGCACTAACGGGTTCTGCCGGCTGCCTTTGCGACCTTGAGTTAAAGCCAACTTCGTCGTGAATAGTCAGTCTTGTGATAAATTACACTCGTCTGTCGAATTTCTGCGACCTCTACCCTGGATCACCTACCAAAGCCTGTCTTGTTCGAGAACAGAGATATGTTGAAAGAGGGTCAACGCAACAGGTGGATGAATCTCACTAAACAGGGTTCATAGCACCTTCACAATATTTGCTCTCTGGTTGGAAAAAATGACAATCACCCACACACACTTGTGTTCAATTTTCAGCCTCTTCATTGTGAGAACCTGTTTAATTTTTTCCACTGGCTATTATAGATCAAAAATGTCAATGTCGCCATATGAATTTCGAGATAATGCTACGGCGTCCGCGGGAGCCGACGCGCACTCGCAAAGCCCGGCGAGTGTGAAAAGTATGCGAGGGTCTCCGGTGCAAGGACGGCATCGGGGGGCAACTAGGCTAGTCCAAAGTCCCGCAACGTATGAAGACTCGCGTTGCAACGTTGAATGTTGGCACGTTGACGGGCCGCTCTTTTGAGCTGGTAGAGACACTGGAGCGCAGACGAATTGATCTCTGTGCTGTGCAAGGAAACGAGGTGGTCCTGCTGCAAATCGAAGGACCTTGGCCGTGGCTTCAAAGCCATTCTTTGCGGCAGTCCCAAACAACTAGCGGTGTCGGTGTGGTCGTCTCTGAACGTTTCCGTGACTCGATTGTCAGCGACGAACGTTACAATGACCTCATTATGAAAATCGTTGTCGCTCTTTAGCGAAGTCAGTACCACTCTTCTCCGCATACGCACCACAGACAGATTTCCCCGAACACGCCAAAAACGAGTTCTGGGCCTTAGTGGATGACAAAGCAGCTGAGGTACCATCGCAAGATGACGCCAGGTGACATTTATCGAGTCACCGCACGGGTTACAAAAATGCTTACAGTTGCATGGACGGATTTGGGTATGGGTCCCGAAACGCCTGATGTGAGTATGCAAACTCGCTCACCATCGTGAACACAAACTATCGCAAACGTGACTCCCACCTCATCACGTTTTACAGTGGGGATACCAGAACGCAAATTGATTTGTCCTCGTCAGGCAGCGTGATCGAGGGCTAGTGACGGACGCGAAGACGGTGCCGTACGAGACGGTCGCCACGCAACATCGACCACTGATCTGCACCCTGAAGATCACTCCTCCGAAATTAAAGCAAGTCGAACGGTGTAGGCCTGAAAGGATCAAGTGTTGGCGACGAAGCGATAGTCCACTTGGCATCGCAAAGAACGGGCGGCGGAAAACCGACAAGCAGATCTGGCTGTGGACTGACACTGCCAAGGGCTGAGATGGTTTCAGGGATTACGGCGTAGGGCCAGATGTGGCCCAACGAAAAGATACCTCCGCACCCGTGCCTGTGCCAGTAAGCAGCAAGAAATGGCTCAGTCATTCCACTAATTTTTCGATAGAAGCCTACTCATCAAGGGTAATGATGATTATGAACGTTATCTGAAAACTTCCGGTCCAACTCCTCTTCCTTCAACCTCTATTTTCCATTCTCCACGCTCTGTAAAACAGCAGAACTCCGCAAACTCCACACTCAGCTGGTTTCCACTAACGGAAAACGTGGTTAAAGAAAACCCTCAGTGAGAATGAAGGAAATTGTCTGCATGAACTTAAATCGAACCTTACAATACTACCAATTGAGAAGTTCCTTCAAAATACGCTTTCTATAAGAGAACAAATAGAATGTAGCAGTGGTTCAACTTACATCACACTTCGCAATAGTGGTCAGTGTATGTGTAATGAAATTCCCGAGTGTGTTTGAATAGCAAGGTCCAGAAGGATAGAAGGCATGAAATCGTGGATGTTGCCAATGAGTTATCTGAAGAATTCTATTTTTGATTTTGAAGCGGAAATGCTATTATTTCATTACACTCGGTAGGCGAACTTCACGGAAACTCAGAAATTTTTTTGGATCCGATAAAGCGGTTCGGTCTGAATACTGAATGTGAACAATAATCTCTGCTCAATGAGAAAAGATACTAATTATCTGACTCCAAATCCCCTCCCGCCCCTCCAACTACGATTAACATCGATATTATCGAAATTCCCAAGCTTGCCTTTCTCATTGTATCAGTTGCTTCTTTCCGCGAGGCCCGATTTGATTGTGTATGAGAGAATTTTCTCAAGACCAGGAACGAAAGGGCGGCTAAGCAAATACCGCTTTTTTCTGATCTCATTCCGAAATAACGGTATTAGACTAATAAAGTAATACCAATGTCGCTAATTTCACATACAATACTGCTCCTAATTTTTGAAACATCTACGCGTTGCGACGGTTTTGTAAACTTTTGTCAGTCGTCGCCACTTTGCTCTGTCCAGGGCATCTTCTACCGTGGCCGTGACCTTCACTTAGGTCCTTCTTGATTACGTCTTTCCACCTCTTCTTTGGGGCTCCTCGCGGTCGCTTGCCTTGCACTTCGAAGTCCATCGCTGTTCTTATCGGATGGTCCTGTGGCCTCCTTAGCACATGCCCATACCATCGCAGACGCTGTTCCCGTACCTTCAGCTGGACAGGGGCAGTCTGCATGATCCGCTCTGACATCCTCGTTTCTAACCTTGTAAAGCTGCGTCACAGTTTATCCGCAGCCCCATTCTGCATCCTATTTTCAGCGGAGTGTTGCCTTTGTAGTTCTGTTTAAGGCCAGCACACCTACTGTTAGCAATTCGGTAGGCTTATCACTGCCCGACCAGCTCACCCTTTTCTATTCAGTGCTCTGGAGCACCGTCGATCGCAAAGGATCTTTCAGTGGATCCTATACTTCATCTCCAGGCGCGCGTTTGATGCCTTGCTATTTCAACCGAATGACCCACACTACCCGCCGGTCTGCCAAACGTCGCCCACAAAGAAGCGAATTTCGTAAACCCACTCTTTCCTCTCATGGTCTCACGGATGACACATCTACAATTGTTGTCTGTAACATCTCTCAGACACTCAAGAATATTAGTCTTTTGACCGTTTAAATCGGAGCCCGCTCTATCTATCTCTTCTGTTTCCTTCTTTCTTTGCTTATTTTCCTTCGATACTGAATTTCCGATTCCCTGCCACGCTTTGTCGCCTTACCTCTTTTATCATGTTATTATAGATTATACCGACTACTCGCGCCCTATCTGATAATACTGACAAATCGATGAAGCTTTAGGTTTCACCGCTAAATTATAGCTGCTTCGTTAAATGTATTACTGTCCGTTGCATAGGCTGCTCATCTCTTGGCTGTATCTCACTGTTTGATAAGCGCAGTGAAGTGCACAGCTAAAGTGATGATGTAAACAACCACTATGCTTCAAGTATCCTTCTATATTATAAAGCGCTAACTTTGTGTGTCGGTTTGTGTATCTGTATGTGTGTGTGTGAGTGTGTGTGTGTGTGTGTATGTATGTGTGTCCGTCCGCAAAATGAAGTGAGTGAGAAGGAAGCTCATGGGATAAACAAACCGCTAACAAATCGGGTAGCTTACAGGATTTGAGATATCAATGTTTTGTAGCAGGATAGTTGTGATAACACTCTCTTAGGGCTATATAAACACCTGCTTAGCACACTTCCGTTCATTCCACATGGTGCTGCAGTGGCAGCTGGAGGGCAGTGGAGAGAGGAAGGGAGGATGAGGAAGGGAAGCGAAAAATCTACCGTCATATCATGATTGTGTCCCTTCTACTGTTGAAACACCATTGTGTTGCATACGCGTCACTTCCACGAGGTGTTGGTGTCACAGGAGGAAGGGACCATAGCGGAGGATAGAAAGCTTGCGCAGGAAAGGAAGGTCCCGGCGGTTGACGGGGGACTAATCTGGTGAGATATAAGCGTCGAAATATCTTCAAAAACGGGTGGGTGATTGCCTAGTAGTTCATTATCATAATTTTATTCCGAGCATCCCATTCATCCTCAAGAACTCTAGAAGGAGTAGCGGTCGAAAGGTGTTTGAGTTTACAATTACAACGCTGATGAAATGATATTGAAATGAAAGGCATTATCTACAATCTGCTCTCTATTTCTATTTCAAGTGCTCTCTACGTTCGTACGCATATCGTTACTATCAGTCCTCATCAGTCGTTATCACTTTTGACCCCCACCAAATATTTCCCGTCCCACCCCCTATATCATGTCCCAAAATCAGCTCCTGACGACTGCTGCGAAGCGCACTATGAATTTCGTGAAATTTGTGTTTCAGCGCCTCTTATCTGCTCTTATCAGTCGTTATCACTTGGTGACCCCCACCAAATATGTTCCCGTCCCACCCCCTATATCATATCAAAAAATCAGCTCCTAACGACTGCTGCGACGCGTGCTATGAATTTCGTGACACACGCACACACACACACACAAACAGAAAGACTGGCGTTTTATATATCCTTCTATTTTATAAAGCGCTAACTTTGTGTGTCGGTTTGTGTATGTGTATGTGTGTGTGTGTGTATGTATGTATGTATGTATGTGTGTCCGTCCGCAAAATGAAGTGAGTGAGAAGGAAGCTCATGGGATAAACAAACCGCTAACAGAATCATGTAGCTCACAGGACTTTAGCTATTAGTGTTTTGCAATGGCATGATTGTGATAGCATCCCCAACGGCTATATAAACACGCACTTAGCACACTTTCGGTCATTCGACAAGGTGATGCTGTGGTAGCCGGCGAGCAGAGGGGAACGAGGGGAGAGTAAGGAGAGGAGGGAGAAGGGAAAGCTACAGCAAGGTAGGTGAGTTCTCGCGGTGCGCTATCGCGGGATCCAATCTTGTTCAGTATGATAAACCAGAATTTTGGTGTTGTCGGTGATGTGCGTGTGTGTGCGAGTGTTTCGTTCTGTCCGTCTGGACCAACCGCTAACAAAACTGGGGAGTTCGAAGGGCTACACACTCGTGATGTTGACTTCATGATCATGATAACACCCACAGCGGGTACATAAACACCGATCAAAGTAAATCAGCCTCATTCCACATGGTGCTGCCGTGGCAGCTTGATGGGTGTATGTGGAGAGGTGGGGACGAAGGGGAAGCCAGCAGAAGGGAGGGGGCAGGAAGGGGGAGGAGGGAGAGGGGAAGAGAGGGGAGCAGGGAGGGAGGACATGGCTCTGCCGCCGCAGCTGGACGAGAGGGCAGAAATGAGGGGGGAGGAGAGGATCCGTAATGAGGTACTATTCATTACGTAATGCCGGTTTTGTGACAACGCCCACAATCGCTATATAAACACCAACCAATGAACTGAGGATTTTTTTGCTGCTGCACAAACAATCAAATACTTAATAATGTGTTGAGCACATAACTTAAGCCACATACATTCACAATAACCGAAAGAACGACCGACAAATGGACTAACCACCTTTAAGATCAAGGATATGAGATATGTTTTTGCTGATGCCTTATCCATCCTTATTATTGCACACTCACTCACTGATCATTCATTCATTGCTTCAAGGGTGTTATGGATTGTGATGAAGCATCTAGCGCTTTGCAAGCACTTCAAATAGAAGGGAGCTTCGCTTCTACCCTACGCATGCATTAGCAAACTATTCAGGTGTCGTTAGATATTCTCAATCATGGTGTGACTCGCAAGATGTTCCTGTAAGCCAAATTTGACTTTGAAGCTGAGTCCTTTCTAAAAACTCAAAGTTTTATGCCATGATCGTCTCCTAGGTTCATTCAGAGAAAAATCTTCAATTATCCTTTCCATTAAATCAATAGAAGTAGATATCCAACACTCATAGATTTTTCGAGAGATGAGTAAATTATTTTGTGCGACTGCTGACTGCTACTGAATTACTCTCACAATCCTATGTTTCTCAGGCTTCTTATGCAATGTTTGCGATTGCATGTACGACTAGCTATTGGGCGGCTAGGCGAGCGTTCAAAAAGAAGAGCGATTATATCGATTCTCTTTTGGTACAACCAGACAAAATATGATAACCCTCAAATAATTGGATTAACTGAAGGGATGCTGCTGTGTGAAGAAGAGCTACAGAGCTACAGTCAGGCAACTAAACTGCAACACGGTGATCTTTGAAAAAAAATTTCACAGTTGCGAAATATATACGCCAGTTCAGCTCCAGACGTTATCACGTATTTCGATGGACTTCAGCGAAACTGGGAAAGGTCTAACACATTCAATAGTGAGTGGGTGATGCCTGATATTCCATGGGTCTTTCAGTTTCGCTAAAGCCTGCCGTGTGATGCGCGCGATAGCGGGCGGAGCAAAACCGGTAGATTAATAATGGGAAAAAATCCGGCATTTCTACCTAAAAACAACCTTCAAGGTCTATTCCTGACTTCACTTTGCAAGGATTTCTTTCGCCAGACAGAACGACTGTATAGCCTACCGTCGACGAAGGGAAAATATGTATCCGCTCCTCTTCATTACATGGTTATAACAAGGAGGTGATTGAAAAGCTTAAGCAGATTTTGGCTGAATTCCTAGATGCAGCGTGAAAAATGCGGATCATCACACGTTTCAAAAGGTGCGCCACAAAACATGAAGCATCCCACCACCATCGGACAGTTTAAAAAGCATCATCTTTGGATTTTTTGTGAAGAATTCCAGATTACATCGAGTATTCAGTTGATTGTCATTCTCATATGAATCTACGAAGAGATGGTATAATTGTGCAGTTAGAAGCCCAGCTGCCGCGCCATTATGAC